GACTTTGCTTGTGTTCCCCCGTGTTTGCACGATCAGAAGCCCGTTATTATGTAGGGTTTGGGGCTGCCGTAAAGTGCCGCGTATGTTCAATCTTCTAGACTCTAGACCCCTGAGGCGGACTGCTTTCAACCCTGGAAGCTGATGGTGCCGAAGCCCTACCACCTGAACCCCACCTACAGTCTCCAATATAAATACGTTTTAGGTTTAACCGATCCTATAAAATATTCTTCAAGACATACTATATAACTATCCCTAGTCCCATTTCCCTTAACTCTTAAACCTCAAGTCCTCGACCTCACCCCATCAGGCCCTTACCTGCAACCCCAAAACCTACAGAATCGTAGGTCATGACCCTTTCTGTTTGTCAGGAAAAAACAACACGTTTCTGAACTGGAAACCACACGCAAGCCCCAACGTATGAACAGCGAGACCTCGGCACTGAAGCCTAGGAGCCCCGAAGCCGTGAAGATCTCCACTTTGGAAAAAAAACCCTGAGCCCCAGCACCCTGGACCCTGAGGCCGTGATTTTCAAAACCCCTGCAAAAAAACAGGATTCGGAAGACTGCCTTAAACCCTGTGAAAATCCTACGATAGAAGCCTGAATAGTTAACAGAAGCATTCCTTACGGTTCCACATTACGCCTCTATATGATAGAAGAAACTCTGATCTACCCTAAACCCCCCTTCAAGTCTTGACAGAGAACCTTTACGAATCCATATAGATTCCTTGAAGGAAAAGAAACAGCTATTCTGAGCCCCTGCCCTGTGCTACGAGACTCAAATTATACGCTCAGACCAGCCACTGTCGATGTCCCACATGGCCGAAGGCTAGGCCCCACATGTGGCATCAGATCCACCATGCTAAGGGGTTTCAAGGGGCCTTGAGGCTTTTGGCTTTGCTTAGGGGGTTGAGGGGGCTCAGGGTTTAGGGCTGGTCTAGGGTTTAGGGCTTAGGGGGTGTTCAGGGGGGCTGAAAGTCTATAGGGCTGCTTCTGCATTTCTACTGTGTTATAAAAAGGGATTCGAGGATCTTGAAAGCATTGGGGACCGGTTGTGGGGGTCTTGGGGCCTCAGTCTCATGCTTGCGGGCTTAGGGTATATGCTGCAAGGCTTAGCAGCTTCGAGCTTGGAGTATGAGGGGCTACTATAGGGGCTTTAATGATTAGAATAGGGTTTTGGGGCCCATTATACTATAATTCTAACGAGGAACCCCCCAGAATAGTCTAGTCTTGGTAATTAATTCTTTAGGCCCCTACATTGGCTTTTAGGGCTTTAGGGTTGGGGGTTTCAGGTTGGGCTTCATGTAAGCGAGCATGCGGCTCGGTTTGCTGCAAGGGCGGTGGAGAGCAGAGTGTGGTTGAACGTTTTGGGTTTCGGGTTCCGGATTTGGCGCTTCGGGGGGTCCTCAGGCGAGTAATCATCCAGAAAGATCAAAGCCTGCACTGCCGTGAGCCAACCCCGCTAACCCAAACACGAACACCCTAAATTCCTGAACCCAAAATAAGGATTAAATCATGTGCCTTCCATGCAGGATCTTCGAAGTAAGCTTATGGATCGCTGGAAGTGTGGGGGGACTTTAGACTCTAGAGCCCTGAATGGCAATTAAACCATCCAGGTCTTGACAGCTTCGGATGTAGCTGTAGAATTTAAGGGATTTTCGGGTTGAGGGGCGCTTTCGCCCAAGGGCCTAACAGAAAACTTGTGGAGCCCTTACCGGCAGCCTGAGAACCGGAACCCCACTCTTCAAACTTCCAACAAACCGCCTTAGGCACCTGAAAACTAACATTCAAAATCCCCAAGTAACACCCCTCACAGTTGCCCGAACAAGGCCAAGAACCCCCCCCCCCCCGCTTCTATCCACAAAAGCTCAGCAACCTTCCGCGAAACCCTGCACCCTAAACCTCAGCAGGGAAGCCCAAACCCTCAACCCTAAATCCTAAACTACCCTAAACCCCAAACCCTAAAGCATAAACCCTAAGCAACCCTAAACCTTAAATGACACTAAAACATAAACCCCAAACTACCCTATACCCTAAACCTGAAAAAAAAAACTCAATAAAGCCCAAAAAGCCTGGAAGGTTCCGGGCCCGGATCATCCTAAACTACCCTATACCCTAAACCTTAAAAACACCCTCAGAAACAACAAAAAGCCGGAAGGTTCCGGGCCCGGATCATCTCTCTCGTCTTCCCGGATCCCGTGGGGTGGTCGACGAGGAGGCGGCGAACCGGGCTCCTTATGCTTTGGGGGCCAAGGGTTTAGGGTTTAATGTTAGGAGTTACCGTTTAGGCAAGGGTTTAGGCTAGGGTTTAGGGTTTCGGGTTTAGGGTTTAGGGTTTAGAAAGGGTCCGTGGGCTCTCGGGGGAAAGCATAGAGGACCGGGTCGCTTTGAAGGTTCCATCGGAGCGGCATTATAGGGGGATTCTAGAAACTACGAGTCTGCCCTCATCTCTCAGCACTTTCTCAGCCAGTCTCCCGACGGAGCCCGATTCCCGAAACAGACTTACAGTTCCGGGTTCTGGCCTTAGCATGGAGGCGTGGATAGTTGTGGGAGTATAACCTCCTTACACTCCCTACATAGCTATAACTATACCGCATCCTAAAGAAACTGTATTCTGAATGAGTATAGACGACCCCGACATTCGGGCGCCCAGGGAAGAACCTTGGGAACCTTACCAAGAATCAGAAGAACCTGAATCAGGCTCCTGTACCACAGAAAAATCATGGGTTTGTATACCTTCCAATGTGGGGGAAATAAGGTTTTGGGGCCTAGCCTACTATATTTATTTATGACAACGAGCCCTGCTTACTCTTATTGGGGGGTGTGCCAACTCGATGGTCAGGACCCTTGAATACAGCGCTTGCGGCAGTGGAAGTAGCCATTCCAGCCGTCACACTTGCAGTCAGTCTCCTGCCAGTTTTGTTCAGGTCAGCATCTGCGAATACAAGGTTCCAAAGCGTACGGCCTGATGTAGAACCTGAAGAGTAGGATCCTCTAGAAGACCGCAAATGTGCATATCCTGGTCATTGCTATGTATGTCTTGCTAATGCGGGGGTATTCTGCTGGTCAACGGTTCGAAACTGTTGTTTAAATACTGCCACGAAATTCACTGAATGCTGCAATCTACCACGCTGGAAATATGACCGATCTGGCAGGGCACTTGGGATGCATCAGGAAGCCAACCGCCTCGGCAAGACGGGCTCCCCGCAAGGGCTTCAGGTTTTTGTTATGAGGATGCTCCAGGCTTCAAAACGGTGGTTTCATGGGGCTTCATAGGGTTTAGGGCTTTGGGTTTAGTTTTGGGGGCTTTTGCAATTATAGATTCCGTAAGGGCTCGGACTGTAGCTCACGAAGGTTTTAGGAGCTTGGGGTTTCCCTACACCCTCGCCCAGGAGTTTGGAGTTGGGGCGGGTTTCAGCCTCGGCGAGTTTGGGGTTTAGAAGTTTGGGGCTCGGAGGGCTTTCGCGATATCCGACTTTGCTTTAGGGTTTAGGGTTTAGGGGTTTGGAACTAGGGCAGTGCCAAAACTTGTAGAAAGGGCGTGGCGCAAGGGTTACAACCAAAAAAACATCTGTCGAGGGGCTTGTATGGCCCTTGCAATGTAGTGGCCCTGAGTAAGTACAGTATGGCTTTGGGCATACAACTGCACGATGAAACAGGATTTGCACAGACTTGTTTTACTGACAGTTCAAGACCTTCTAGCGGGTGATGTGACCAGATTGCTCCATGTTCGCTTATTGGGGAGGTCTTGGGTGGGTGTGTCATCCGTTCGATTCGATTGTGGGACACATCGTGTCCATCTTGAGTCACTTACCCTGCACGCTCCAACACCCTAAACCCTAATTAAACCCTAATTAAACCCCAAACCCTAAAACCGAATTAAACCCTAAACCCAAAACCCTAATTAAACCGTAAACCCTAAAACCCTACACCCTTTTGTCCCAAACCGAGACCTGTGGGTAAGACGGACGGCCGCAAGAGCTCTTTCTCAAAGGGGGTTGAGGAATCTAGTGGGGAGTCTTCCGAACATCTAGACGCCCAAACCCGGCATCCTCTGTGTATGGATCTCTTTAAACAAGACATGTTGACGTAGCTACGTGCAGAGAACTTTCGAAGTGACGGCGGTTCGGGATAAGTTTCGGGCTCTCGGGCTGCAGGGTTTAGGGCTTGGGGTGTAAGGTTTTAGGGTTTAGGCCTTTAAGGCTTTAGGGTTTAGGCCTGGGGTCTCCTTTTGGGCTGGCGGCTTAAAGTTTGAGGTTAAGCGCCCCTAAATCAAGCCGGCAACCTTCAAAAACTCATAGACAGAAAAACCTCATAGACAGAAAGCACTACAAACTGCAGAAACAGTAAGCAATGACCATTTCTATTTTCTAACCAGGCATCCCCCCCTACGCCCAACCCAAGAAAACCATCCCGAAAAATCATCCATGCAACCGTCAATCCCCAACCCCAAAGCCCCAACTCAAGAAAACAATCCTGACAAATCATCCACGAAACCCTCACTCCCCCAACCCAAGTCCAGACTGCAACCCCATACCCTGAAGCACTCCCGCGAAAATAGAAATGTCCCTAATACAAAAAACATAATAGGGTTTAGGGCTTAGGGTTTCCATTTTCAACCCGTAGCCGTAGCCGCCCCCCCCCCCCTGCACACACACTCTTCGCAGAGAAAACTGCTGGAACCAAACCACGAAAAACACACCGTTTGCTCACCAGCCCCTAGGAAACCCACTAGAAGACCCATAGGAAGACCCACCCCTAGACCCAACGCCAGACCCACCCCAAAAACCTAACACCCCAGACCCACCTAAACAGAGCCACCTCAACTCCCGAACCCTAAACCCTAAACCCCAAACCCAAAACCCCAAAAAGCCAACACCAGATCCACCTGAAGACCCAGAAAGATCACCTCAACTCCCACCAAGTAAAACTCCCAGACTATCCACCCGAAAGCCCCGTAAGGTTGAAAATGGAAACCCTAAACCCTAAAACAGAAAACGCCCTAAGGTTGAACATAGATATTGTCTTCCCAGTGGTCGGGAACGTCACATTGACCAAATTCGCTGTGTCCGAAGCAAACTAGCTGACGATCGGCTTGAACTGCACAGGTATGGTAAGTGCCCGCAGCGACTGCCAAAACTGGTCCCAAGTCTGCTGGTGCATCACACTGTCCATGGTTGTTGCCTCCAAAGCAGACCAACCGACCATCTGCTCGCACAGCACAGGTATGCAAAATGCCCGCAGCGACTGCCAACACCGGTCCCAAATCTGCTGGCACATCACACTGTCCATCGTTGTTGTCTCCAAAGCAGACCAACCGACCATCTGCTCGCACTGCACAGGTATGAAAACCGCCTGCAGCGACTGTCAAAACTGGTCCCAGGTCTGCTGGCACATCACTCCGTCCAGCTTTGCTGCGGTCTCTAAAGCAGACCAACCGGCCATCGGTTCGCACTGCACAGGTATGCCCAAATCCCGCAGCGACTGCCAAAACTGGTCCCAAGTCTGGTGGCGCACAACACTGTCCCAATTCTTCTTCTCCAAAGCAGACCAACTGACCATCTGTGCGCACTGCACAGGTATAGGAACCGCCCGCAGCGACTGCCAAAACTGGTCCCAAGTCTGCTGGCACATCACACTGTCCATATTTGTTGTCTCCAAAGCAGACCAACCGACCATCTGCTCGCACAGCACAGGTATGCCAAGTGCCCGCAGCGATTGCCAACACCGGTCCCAAATCTGCTGGCACATCACACTGTCCATCGTTGTTGTCTCCAAAGCAGACCAACCGACCATCTGCTCGCACTGCACAGGTATGAAAATAGCCCGCAGCAACTGCCAATTCTGGTCCCAAGCCTGCGCGCAATATTGCTGACTGCTCCAGTTCGCTGCATGGCCGACAAAGAGTCTTGGAGTCAGGTGAAAACGTCAAAGACCGAGTCCGTCGATGAACGTTGCCGAGCAAGCAACTCATACGTTGAAACCGCGGCGATGCAAATCTCGGGTGACCCAACACTGGCACGTGTCCTGGAACATGATGGAAACCGGAACGGACTTGAAGAGACGATTGCGTTGGCGTTCTAGACAGCAACAGGAGTATGGCAAGCGTCCCAACTGTCAAGGCATTTGACAAAATCATGGCTGAAAAAAATGGTCGAAAGAACTGCACTTGCTGGGAAAATGAAAATGATGCTTGCGCCGCTGTCTGTGGGACAGATCATCAGTGAAAGATTGGTAACATGCGTGACATGCATGGATGAGCTACATGTGGCGACGGCCGCTGAAATCGGAAACTGTGACGCCAATACATCCGAAAATAATGGGGTGAAACCATACTCTTTATGAGTCATAGTTGTGTAGTAACGGCTGTTGCCCAGATCGCCTAAACCTTCCTACATTTTGAAGGGAACTCCTTAAAGAGACCATTTCCAAATTTTGCGCCTTACTCTTCGAAGTGTTCCCCTGTGGGTTTTCGGGTATCGATTTTGGTCTGGGTCGTTCACTGGGGTTTCTGATAAGTCCTTCCCATGGGTCTTCGGGATTCTTATGATGTGATTTCAGGCATGCAGGACTTAGACAGGTAAGCGGGGGGCGCTCTGTATAGTTAAAACTCTCACAACTCAATACGCAAATACTGCCTATGTATGCCCTCTACATAATAATATTGCTGATGTAAGTATATTCTGTTATATTCTGCGACCAATTGCCAACTCTTTCTTTTTCGTTGTGCTTTCGCTTCTTAAGTATTTTAACCTCATCTCCGACATCCAAATCTGGATATACGCGGTTCTTCTTTGCCTTCATCGTTAAGTTTAACCTCACTTATAATTCATTGCTGGGCTTTCGCGCCTCTTTTGGGGCAAATCCCGTTGCCGAGTGT